CACACACACACACACACACACACACACACACACACACACACACACACCTTACCTTCTTCACAGGTCAATGTGTCCATCGGAGGAAATGTTACATAGAGCACTTCACTGAACTCGCTGTACTTTTCAAAGCTCTGGGGTCTGGTCCTCACGCGCACTTCATAATCCTTTTCCAGTATCAGTGAGTACAATGGAACGGATGTTGTCTTTATAGGGCCAGTCTTTCAAAATAAAACATAAAAACATATTACCTCAAGCATCAACAGCTCAATGCACAAATTCTTCAAGTGTCTTTCCTTTTTTCTTTGAATTGGGTTTCAAGAGAGTGATTAATATTTTAACATGCCCAGAGGTAGTTGGGTATTAAATAGACTGTGACAAATTATGTAAAGAATAATTTTGTTAAAATAATAAACCTTAAATTTAGTTTAGTATAAACCCAAAGCTCTACATTTTGCTTAAAAAAAATGAAGCCATGTGTTTGCTTTAGGTTGTTAAATAGTTGACTAAGATTAAGTCATAACAGACTTAAGCCTGGCAGAGCTATAAAGAGGGATACATCTATGTCACTTACTTGTCTGGGATATTAGAGTTTTGTATAAAACAATATATTAGAATAGGAAAGCCCATAATTTCACACCAAAAAAAAATTATGGCCGCAAGCAAATCATATATCTGTAGCATATGTATTCCCTGGAAAATTTGCATAGTCATTTATTAATAATCACAGAAGTCAAAGTGGTTCCGGAAATACTACAGTTGCTTTGAAATGTCAAATAACTTTATTGAAAGCAACTACACATTTTTTTTTAATGCCAGAAGTCTTAAACCTGCCTCAGGACAGTCCGTTGCTCAAGAATCTGCATAGAAAAGTGTGAGGGCGCTATTTCCTCTGAACTAAAACATTCTCTTCTAGGGGGAGGATCTTCAGACTTCAGAAGTAAGCAAAACTCAGGAGGCTGGAGTTTGCAGACCTTAGATGGTTCCCAAGGCTCTTCTGCAAGGTTATGTGCATAACTATTGCTGAGGAGAGGAAACTGTCCAATCAGCTGAGCTTCCTGCAAGCTCTGCTGGGAGCAGCAGGGTGTAGCTTTCCTGAGTCCTCACCTGTGCCGTGGTGGCCTACCCAGTGAGTGTAGCTGCAGTTAAGTCAAACACACTCATGTAAGCAACTCTCATTTATTCTCTTATCAGCACTCAATAAACCCACTGGCTCAATAACCTAGAGTTAGGTGGAACAGTTTTGTTGATCTGTTGTTGGTACTCTAGAAGGAGTAGATCTCCTCAAGAAAATACACACAGCAGACAGTCATTGGAGATCCTGAGTACTGAGCATCAGCATTTCACAGTCTTTAAAGTTAGGGTATTGCCACTCCCCAGAGAAAGGAAGTGAGAATAGATGATTAGCCCTGTAAGATGTTGCTATTACAGAGATAGACCTAGGATCCACTTCATCACAATCCTTTCCACTAAGGTAGTGGTTCTCAACCCGTGGGTATCAGGGGTCACATATCATATATCCTGCATAGCAGATATTTACATTACAATTCATAACAGTAGCAAAATCACAGTTATGAAATAACAACAAAATAATTTTATGGTTGGGGTCAGCACACTATGAAGACCTGTGCAACATTAGGAATGGTGAGAACCACTGCTCTACGGCAGACACTCCAAGCCTGTGGTGCTCAATGTGCCTTTATATCATTTGAGTAGAACACCTTGTTCCTATTACTAGAAAATGTGGAGTACCCACCTTTTCAACAGCATAGATTTTCATATAAATAAACCCCATGATTTGTTTTATTAAGTCAGAATCTAGGCCTTCCACATCTGAAACAAATTTTTTTCCATCCCAGTACATTTCTATCCACAAATTATTCCCCCCTCCCCATTATGTGCACATGACAGGGGTGTGTCTTCTCACAGGAGCCTCTGAATACATGCAGTATTTGTATGCCTAAAATGTTTTTTTTTATTTTTTTATATTTTTGGTTGTGAACCTAGCCTTTAACGGCTGAGCCATGCTTTTTATATTAAGATGTTCTTTTATGATATTGTGGTGTGTAGATCTCATTTTTTAAAAATTTTGGTCTATTCTTTAAGTTCTAGCATATCTTTCTTTTCAAGACAGTAATCTGCATGTAAATGATTAATGTTTGTTCCAGTTTTATGACTCATTAAATTTTCAAGACCAAAAGGTTTTTCTTTCTGACCCTAGTCTATCAGGTCACATCAGGACTGGCTTCTTTGTCTTCCTCTGTGGACTGGTAAGGCTGCTCCCCTCTTAGGTGGAGGTGATCGAAGAGCCAGCCCATGAGTTCATGTCAGACACAGTCCCTGTTCCTATTATTGGGAAACTCTCTTGGAGACTGAGCTGCCATGGGCTACTTCTGCGCAGGGGTTCTAAGCATTGGACTGGGGGAGGTGCATAGGAGAAGAAGAGGGAGGGAGGGTGGGATTGGGAGGAGATGGGGAGGGGGCTATAGCTGGGATACAAAGTGAATAAACTGTAATTAATAAAAATAAAATAAAAAAGAATACATAAAAAATATGAAACCAAAAATAAGTAATATCACAGTTATTCAAAAAGGTTAAGCGTAGAGTTACTATATGACCAAGCAATTTCACTCTTGGTTAATTAAAAGAATACTCATGTAAAAAAAAATGTTTTCTTTAAAGCAGGACTCTGAATTTTAAACTTCCTTGTTTTTCATAAAGTAGTAATTTTGTGTTTCATGCATGGAGCAAGGCCTGGTTTTTATTGTCTTCAGTATTATTTATATATTTAACTAATAACTCTAAATAATCACATAGGAATCCCCAGAAAACAACCTATGACCCCCCCCATCTTTATCTTTCTATACTATCATTCAATATTTCTGAGGGAACATTCAACTGTATTAAACAGGGAACAAAACTATACCTTTAGGAACTAGAAAAAGTACAAAGCAATCCCAAAGGTAGCAGAAGGAAGGAATGCCAAGTGTTAGATCAGAAACAGGTGAAATTGCAAACAGAAAAATATTGGAAAGAATCAACAGAAAAATGTTTTTCTTTAAATGTTTTTTAAATTGTGTGTTTTAATTAATTAATTTATTTTTATTAATTACAATTTATTCACCTTGTATCCCAGCTGTAGCCCCCTTCCTTGTCCCCTCCCAATCCTACCCTCCCTCTTCTCCTCCCTTGACCCTCCCCCAGTCCACTGATAGGGGCAGTCCTCCTCCCCTTTCATCTGACTCTCATCAGGACTGGCTACATTGTCTTTCTCTGTGGCCTGCTAAGGTCACCTCCCCTCAGGGGAAGGTTGATCAAAGAGCCAGCCACTGAGTTCATGTCAGAGACAGTCCCTGTTCCCCTAACTAGGGAACCCACTTCGAGACTGAGCTTCCATGGGCTACATCTATTCAGGGGTTCTGGGTTCTGTCCGTGCATGGTCCTGGGCTAGAGTATCAGTCTCATGTTTTGTTTTTTAATGGCTAGGTATTAACTAATAAAAAATGAGATAATAATTCTATTATTTAATGTTCATAAATGCCTTTAGCATTTTGATCAAACTCATCTTCCACCTCTTGTTCTTTCCTTATCATCCACTCTTTTCTCTTCCAACTTAGAGTCCACTCTCTCTCTCTAAAATGTTCAGTCTATTTACTGCTTTTATGTGCATAGTGTGGGACCACCTGCTGCAGCACAGGATGCCTCTCAGACTTCACAGCCCTGAAGAAAACTGTCAAGCTCCCAGCAGCCATTAACTGTCAAGAGCTTCGCAGGCAGGGCAGAAGTTCTTAAGGCCCTCCCTCATCCATGTTGGGATTATTTTTTCTCTTTTTAATTTTTTATACTAATTAATTTTTTATATTTAATTTTTTATATTATATTCTTTATATTAATAATTTTTTATATTATTAAAGTTTATTCACTTTGTATCCTAGCTGTAACCCTTAGTCAGATTCTTCCTCCCTCATCTTCTCCCATACCCTTCCCCCAGTCCACTGATAGGGGAGGTCGTCCTCCCCTCCCCTCTGACCTTAGCCTAACAGGTCTCATCAGGACTGGCTGCACTGTCTTTCTCTGTGGCCTGGTAAGGCTGCTCCCCGCTCAGGGGGAGGTGATCAAATAGCCAGCCACTGAGTTCATGTCAGAGACAGTTCCCTGTTCCCCATACTAGGACACCCACTTGGAGACTGAGTGCCATGGGCTACATCTGTGCAGGGGTTCTAGGTTATGTCCATGCATGATCCTTGGTTGGAGTATCAGTCTCAGAAAAGACCCCTGGGCCCAGATATTTTTGGTTCTGTTGCTCTCGTGTGGAGCTCCTGTCCCCTCCAGGTCTTTCTATCTCCCCTTCTTTCAAAAGATTCTCTACACTCTTTCCAAAGTTTGGCTATGAGTCACAGCATCTGCTTTGATACCCTGCTGGGTAGAATCTTTCAGAGGCCCTCTGTGGAAGGCTCCTGTCCTATTCCTTGTTTTCTCTCTCTTCAGATGTTCATCCAGTTTTTTTTTTTTTTTTTTTTTTTCTGAGTGAGGATTGATCATCTTACCCAGGGTTCTCCTTCTTGCTTAGCTTCTTTAGGAGCACATATTTTAGTATGTTTATCCTATATTATATATCTAATATCCACTTGTAAGTGAGTATATACCATGTGTGTTTTTCTGCTTCTGGGATACATTCTGAGATTGTGGCTGGCACGATCTTGTCACAGGCAGTTTCAGCTGCCATAAGTTCATGTTGCAACTGCATGGTCAGGACCAGCAAATAGTTTCCCTATAGCCATTGACAGCCTTACATGCTTCTAATATTTCTTCCCCTTCTTCCTCAATAATCTTTGAATCTTGGAGGGGATAGGATATGGATGTTCCATTCAGAGCTGAGTTTTCTGCAGTTTCTTATCCTTCGCGTGTTGGCTGATTGTATTAACTAATATCTATTGAAAAAAGAAGCTTCTCTGATGAGGTTTATTAGTCTATGGGTAGAATGATAATAAGTTGGGGGGGCAGTTAATTACTATGTCCATTTAGCAGAATAATGGCACTAGGTTCTCCGCTAGGGCTTATAACCTAGCCAGGCACATTGTCTGGCCCAGTTAAAGATGCCAGTCATGGCTTTAAATCTAATAACAACATTCATTTCACTACTAATGGATCTATCTTGAAGCAAGCAGGGTGAGAGAGCTGATGGCTTTTCTAACTTGTTTATAGAAATAAAAACATTAACTATTGAAAAGAGTATAGAGGTTACATAAACAATTAAAAATAAAGTTACCATATCAGCTAGTGATTTTTACTAATAATTTATATTTAAATGAAATGAGATTAGTATGTTAAAGACATATTTGCCTATTCATAACTATAGCCAAAATACAAATCATCCTGGGCCCATTGGTGGATAAATGGGTGAAAAAATGGGATATTTTGAAATGTACAATAGAGTAGATTTTACTGTTAGTTCAAAAACATCTGTGAAAAACACATACATTAATAGTTCCACTGGACCATCATACTACATATAAATATTTCAAAGCACCATTGACATAATTATTATATAACATAATTAGTATAATTATTTTTAGACTATTTGAAAAATATCTAGTATATTGGTTTATTGAAAGTAGACTTCAGAAGTTTTCACAAATTTTATTATATAAATAAAACTACCAGTTTTGCTAACATCACCATGGATGCCTCTGGGGTAAATCTTCATATGTTAGAAGGCTATCAAAATATTGTTTGTAGATACACATTTTCAAAAATTCTACATTTTTTTTTGAAAGTTAAAATTTATCCTTGGTACAAACATTGCCAGGTGTTCACTAGAAGTGTCAGCTATTTTCTTGAGAAATTTTTGACAATTGAAATATGAATAATTATCTACTAGTATGTCTATTGTTCCTCATATAAAACTTGTGCACCGTGTGGCTAGTTCAGTTTTTCCTTTTTTCATTTATTTTTTAAAATTATTATTATTATTATTAATTATAATTCATTCACTTTGTATCCCAGCTTCAGGCTCCTCCCTTATCTCCTCTCAGTACAACCCTCCCTCCCTTCTCTTCCCTTATGCCCCTCCCCTATTCCATGATAGGGGAGGTCCTCCTCCTCTTTTATGTGACCCTAGCCTATCATGTCCCATGAAGACTGGCTGCATTGTCTTCCTCTGGCCTGGCAAGACTCCACCCTCAGGGATGCCACTGAGTTCATATCAGAGGCAGCCCCTGTTCCCCATACTATGGAACCCATTTGGAGAGTTAGTCTATGGGCTACATCTGAGCAGGGGTCTAGGTCCTCTCCATGCATGATCCTTGGTTGGAGTATCAGTAGTCCCCCCCTAGGCCCACATTTTTTTTTTTTTTTTTTGCCTCTGTTGGTTTCTTTGTGGAGCTCCTGTCCCCTCCAGGTCTTTCTATCTCCCCTTCTTTCAAAAGTTTCTCTGCACTCTTTCCAAAGTTTGGCTATGAGTCTCAGCATCTGCTTTGATACCCTGCTGGGTAGAATCTTTCAGAGGCCCTCTGTGGAAGGCTCCTGTCCTATTCCTTGCTTTCTCTCTCTTCAGATGTTCATCCAGTTTTGTTTTGTTTTTTTTTTTTTCTGAGTGAGGATTGATTCCCTGCACTCTGCCCAAAGTTTGGCTATGAGTCTCAGCATTTGCTTTGATATCCTGATGGGTAGAGTCTTTCAGAGGCCTTCTGTGGTAGTTCAGTTTTTGATCCATCATGACCTTGGAATGTAGAAGAGTCCTATGTGTATTCTCCATGTGCTAGGTGGACTCAAAGGTTGAGATTTAAGTAGAGTCTTCTATAAAACTGTCCCCCAGCCTTTACTGTGAACTATACAATGAGACTATTAGTAAACACTCCTGCCTTGATTCATGCCAAGAGCCAGCAGTTTTCTTACCACTGTTTTTGTATTATGGCACAAAAATATTATTAGAATATACTGAGAAATTAGCATTGACCTCATACGCTCCCTTGAAATGATCCTGAGAGTCCTCAGAGGTACATAACTCTCATTTTGAAAACTGCTACCTCAGGTGCCCTTAGTACCTTCTGCAAAGTAGTTGTTCCTATACCTGGTTGGTGAATAAATGTTTGATTATGACTTGGGTTGCGAAAGTCTTGTTTGAATTAGCATCTAACCAGCCTCTTAGGTACCAAAAGTTACAAACCAGATATCTATATTAAAATGATTCAGAAAACAGAACCTTGAAGACAAGTCACTGTTTGAAGTAGCTCAAGTTGTACTCTCTGCTAATGACAAAATTGGCTTCCTTTTTGGTGCTGCATGGAAAGGACAGGGCCTTGTGTCTCAAAATTTGGAGAGTGAACCCTGCCAGGGTGCTGGGTACAACCTCATGTCTATCCAGAAACTGCTTGGCTTGGCCACGGCTGTGGTTGTGGTTAGACTGACTTAGAATTAGTTATATTTGGAGTGACATGGTAATCCTGTTTCCCTTCTTGTTGTTTGCCATGTGGAATTTATCTCAGTGCTGAGTTCCCATGCACTTGGCAGGGAAGTGAGAGGTTCAGGGACCAACTTGCCTTTTTCTTGCCTGAGTATAGACATCTTAGCTTGATTTTCCCTGAGGTATATAAAAGAACATCTTTCTGAAACCTCTGTGGGATAAATTACTTCTCTATGCCTCTCTCCTGGAAAGACTTGAAAATAGATATTAATATAGTTCTCATGAATAGCAACAGTTTAAACCATGGGAGGACATTTGGCCGTAGCCTACTATTGACCTTGAGCATGATTCTACTTATGCTCAGCCACATCTCCAAAGTTGGCAAACTGGTTAGTCTGTGACCTTGCTCTATGGTTAAACTGAACACAAAGATGATTAGAGAAATAATTTTCTTCTCCAAATAGTCTTTCATCTGTGTACATGGAAGATTCACATGAGCATTTGCTGTTTTACAGATTTTTAAGATATTAATTTAATGATTATATCAGTTTTCCTCTAACAACAAGTTGTAGTGCACATAACTTGGGCATATGTGGTATTAGGTGAAAAGAAAGTGTTGTTAAAAGTTAAGAAAGACTATTGAATTAGGAAGAAGAAAAGGCATAGGATGCAGCGACTCTTACCGCTTTCCACTTAGTTTCATTGACTTCTTTGTACTGAACGTCATAGTCCAGAGTTATCCATCCCTTCAGAACATCTGCACTGGGTGGTGGTCGCCATCTCACTTGGATGTCTACATGAATCCTGGTCAAACTGATGTTTAGCAAAGTCCAGTTGAGGCCAACGGGTGGATCAGGTTGCACTGTGAATTCAATGGAGATTCAGTCTCCAGAGAAACACTCTTAATATTGATAACTTGCTTTCTTCAGAGGGCAAATTACTTAATTTTGATCACATTCTTAATTTCTCTAGCAATCCACATTATTAGAACTCTTTGCTTTATAACAGGGCAACATCCTTTTAACTATAAGAATGATATTTCACTTTAAAAACATTTATAAACACTCCCCAACTCCCTTTTGAGTCTCAAGTCTGATATATTGGAAGAGTTCATTGGAAGAATTGTCAGGCTACATATTTGTTTTTAGCTCTGGTAGCATTTATATTTTAGGATTTTGGTTTGTGTGTGCACATGTGCACATGCGCGCGCGCACACACACACACACACACACACACACACCACAGACCCCTGAAGATGTAGAGATTCACAGCAATTTCACTTTTAAAATATGGCATGTTTTGGAACAGGAAGGAGAGGCTTTTTTTTCTTCCAAACTGTGTGTGAGCTAAGGAAGGACTTTACCTTATACATCTTTATGCTACTACAGTCCAGTCCCTTGAGTGCTCTACAAACGCTCCCTTGTTTTACTGTCTTCCTAGCCATCCTATTTTGTTTCTTAGTCATAAAAGAGAAGGCATTATGCTGCTATCTTGAATTAGTAATAATTCAGTGTTTTCTGTCTTTGCTTAACTATCTCGTGTGCAATTTGAAATTGTATGTTGCTCAGTTTCTGCTGGCAATCCTCTATTATATTCTTAGATTAAATCTCTGTATTCTTATTGTAAGGTCTGTAAAGACTAGAGTTTCATAAAATATAAATTCCAAAACTAGAATTTATATGTAAATTTAAGCCATGTCTCAAGTGAAGTATTGATTGATAGGGCTTATTACCAAACCTTTTGAAACTACTTGATGATACATAATTAAAATTTTATTTATTTCTTAACATATGCACTTAGCTAGTTAGAATCTTTAGATCCCTAGAATTAATCAGAGAGAAGCCTAAAATAAATGTTATAAAGGAGATTTTATTGAGACAAAAAGAGAAACCTTTGCATTGACCTAGAGTGGACACATACCTGTGATGGAAGGGTATGTTATAACCACTGTCACATAGGCACTATTTTTTTTTTTTAGAAATAAGAAATATTTTTCATTTTAAAATATTCATTATATATACACTTAAATACATTTTAGAAATTAAATTTGAAGAGTAATCAAAGTACATATTCCTATACGACAACAGTATTACTCTGTCCTGGATTTGTCAGGAATTGAGGAAGAACCACAAGCTTAACTTTTTAAGTGACTAGTTTTGAATGTGTATTTGCATTTTAATTAACTTTTAAAAGTTAGCATACAAAGCAATACCTCATTATATGATTTGTATATGCATGTGTTAATATGCATTGCTTTTATTCACCTCCTCTAGGGTCTTCTACTTGCTAGTACCCTCCCTCCATGACTACTGATAGGGGAGGTCTTCCTCCCCTTTCATCTGACCTTAGCCTATCAGGCCTCATCAGGACTGGCTGCATTGTCTTCCTCTGTAGCCTGGTAAAGCTGCCCCCTCTCCCAGCAGGTGATCAAAGAGCCAGCCACTGAGTTCATGTCAGAGACAGCCCCTGTTCCCCTCACTAAGAAACCCACTTGGAGACTGAGCTTCCATGGGCTACATCTGTGCAGGGGTTCTAGATTCTCTCCATGAATGGTCCTTGGTTGGACTATCAGTCTCAGAAAAGACCCCTATGCCCAGATTTTCTTGGTTCTGTTGCTCTCCTTGTAGAGCTCCTGGCCCCTACAGGTTTTCCTATCTCTCCCTTCTTTCATAAGATTCCCGGTTCTCTTCATCCAGTCTTTGTCCTCTTTCTTTCAGATTATTCTCCACACAACCCACAGACTCCAAGTTGTTTTTTTTTTTTTTTGTTTGTTTTTTAATCTCACCCCAAGTGAAAACCACAGTAATCACAAGCGCCTGAAAATGACTAACTTTGATCTTGTCTCTCCCCTCTCTCGTCCCTTCCCAGTCTTTGCCAGTTCTGCTGTCCACTGCCTCCTCCACGAGGAAGCATCTTAGGTCTCAGGATGGTCACCTTCCTGCTGTAACGCTTTTCTTTCAGAAACTAACAGGCGTGTTCTTTACTCAGCGATACCCATCTTCAGGGAAACCAATCCAGATGACCCTACCTAACCTTGCAGCCCCTCCCATACCCTTGTGCTCCTTTTTTCTATTTCTCTGTGCCATCTTTCCACTCTAACTGGGATTCCGTTTTACCAGGAAGATATCTTCTTTTTCAGCACATGGAACACTGCCTGGCCCAAGGTAAAGACATGATGTTTACCTTGCTGAATGAACTGAATAAATGCCAAACATCTAACTAATCTCCTATTTCACTTAAATCCAAAGAACAGCTCACTGAGGGACAATATATACAGAACACACGAGTCAACTGTGGGTTCAGGCCACACACATCTTTTCTCAGAACATACCAGAGTCACTCACACGGTTCTGCTTCCCTCTTTCTATGCTTCTGTTGTGATTCTTTTAGTCATTTTTCATTTGACTCTGAAAGTCTTCTAACAGCTCTGCCTCTAGTTTGTGCTACTCCAGTCTCCAACCATAAGCAGCAAAAGTCAATTTCTTTAAGACACTAATGACACAGTTGCAATAGGTTAAAATTAGAACCTATCTGTTATCTTACTTTCCCTTGATGTCATCATTTAACAGGCCTGGGCCTCAGCTGCATTATCTGTGAAATGGGGTTTATGATAGAACCTGTCTCTTATGACCATTATACGAGACATAAGTTCTCTGGGTTAGATATTTCCTTATTTAAATAAATAGAAATGCAACCTTTGGCAGGAAGATCAAGCCCGAAATTTTTGTGAGGCCCACAAGACTAAAGTTGACTTTTCAAAGAGATATTAGGTCTATGTAATTGACATTGAGTCCTTAAACATTTTTATTTTTTCTCTTGCCACTCTTAGAACATAGTAGTTTCTGGAAGGTCTGTGATACTTGGTAACTCTATTCATACTTAACTGTCACAGTTCAGTTCAGCTGGCTCCTCTTCATCCTTCAGGCATGGCAGGTCATTCATGCATTTGATCACAACCTTGTTTTTTCCATTAATATATTTATTTATTCACCTTACATCTTGATCAAAGATTGCCCTCCTCCTAGACCCTCCTTCATACCCCTCCCCCATCCTCCCCTCCTCTTTGGAGAAGGGGGAGGTCCTCCATTGGTACAACCTGCCTTGGAACATTAAGTTGATGCAGAACAAAGTGCATCCTCTCTCACTGAGGCCAGACAAGGCAGCTCAGTTAGGGAAACAGGATCCAAAGGGAGGCATCAGAGTCTGAGAGGTACCCCGCTCCAGTTTTGAAGGACCAACATGAAGATCAGCTGTACATCTGCTACATATATGCTGGGGGCCTAGGACAAGTCCATGCATGCTCTTGGGTTGGTGATTCAGTCTATGTGAGCCCCATGGGCCCAGGTTAATTGTCTCTGTAGGTCTTCTTGTGGAGTTTTCCACCTCTCTAGCTTCCTTTTTATGCATCCAAAGACCTCAAGTGCAGGACTTGCCATTCTGTGTTGTGGCACATCATCCTGCTATTATATTTTTGAATTGCCCAATTCCACTACTTGACTGTATCATATAGCATAGTCAACATAGTTGCAGGAGCTCAGTGAGAGTCAGTTAAAGGAGTAAGGCTTGCTACTGGTAGGGATAGGCACAGGGCATGGATTGTAAGCCAGCATCCTTACAGATGACCTACCCACTCAATCACTTAGCATCAGCTCTGCAGCAGGGGGAGCCATTAAATAATAAGCAGCCTCTATAACCCACCAGACAAGCTTTCTGCTCCTTACAGTTTTGTCAACCCTCTCTCTGGAAGGCAAACTTCCATGTTTTGCTTGCTTCTGTCTGCAAGCAACATTTCCCACTATCTTCCATTCTGTTGATGCTAAGAAAGCACATTTGTCTGTGAAAAGGGATAGGAATTTGTGTGAGAAACAAGGGGGCTCTTGTGGATAGATTTGAAAGAACTAAGGTCAGCTACTGAAAGTCCTTCACTGCTTCTTTGCCTCTTGCTGTTTATACAATCATACTGTAAACATGGATACTTCAGTTATGGCTGCTTGTTTCAGTTCCTCTTTAAATCCACAGGATGGGCAATGAACCATCTGGATTGCTCTTGGACTTGTTTCTTTGAGCTAATTTTCATTAATGTTTGTTTGAGAACAAAATAAACATGACTTTGACCTAATTGTGGCTGGTTGGTAAATGTTAGATTCTATGATTATTTTGTTTTCTGATCAAGAAAATCTAGGCTTTGATTATACCAATGTTAGAGGTCAAAGGCCAACATTTTTCAGTAGATCTGAATATAAAACATTGTGCCAAAAATCGAGGAAAATTTAAAAGTACATTGAGTTAACCCATTGTTTTGGCAACAAGAATCCAATTCAAAGTTGAAGATTATAAAGAAAAGGTGGATTAATTTCTTCTGTTTTAATTAAAATTTTCAGATTTATTTTTATTTTATATTGCTTTGCCAGCTTGTATGTATGTGCACCACATGCATGCCTGGTACCAAAAAGGTTAGAAGAAGGTTCCTGGAACTAGAGTTACAGGTAGTTGTGAACCAGCAAGTAGGTGATGGGTCCTCTGAAAGAGTAACAAGTACTCTTAATTTCAGAGTCATCTCTCAGCCCCTGATTAATTTCTTCATAGCATTTACTACCAGATGTCTATTATTTAAAGTTTAAAAAATTTATTTATTTGTGTGAGTGCTTTGTCTGCACGCATGTCTCTACACTGTGTGCTTTGTGTTCAGAGGCCAGAAGAAGGTATAGACTCAAGATGGTTGTTAGTCGCTATATAGGTAACGATAAAGAAACCTGGATCCTTTGGAGAGTAGCCAAGGTTCTGAGGCACTGAGTATCTCCTCTCTAGTTCCATTGCAGGCATCTTTAAGCTAGAGTCAAGTTAACTGTCTTTTTAGACTCTATCTTTTTAGATTCCTGTGTGACAGACTCCATATACTAAAACCACAAAGCCTTTCTACTAGATTATACTCAGAAACTGGTGCTCCCTTAATATTTGGTCTAAAGCTGTGTCAAATGAAACAAACCCATGATTTACCTATTTCATCAACAGTGAAACACTTTTGGTCCAACAAAATTCCATTTGTAGTTAGCTTTATACAGTAGGGTGTCCAAACGGAGGTATGTGATGCATTGAAGTAACAACTGTTTTCTCCAGCAGAGACATAATCAGGGCACTCTTTCCATTCCTGGGGCCATTCATGAGCAATTCTGAAATGGAGAGTGAAAAAGATTAATCATTCCCCAAACTATGTCACAGCTTTAGTCAGCCAGATTCAGTAAGCTAAGACAAATATCTTACAATACAAAATTCAACATTTTAGCAGTACCATTTCTGAGAAAAATCATATCCATAAGCAGTGTTACTAGTGTCTGAAGATTGTCAGGAGCCTATATGATACATCTGCTTAAAATAAAAGCATCTGTTTATTGAGTGTATATGGTATTTGTATGCATATTTGTATGTATATATATGTGTGTATGTACATGTCTATGAGTTCCCAGTGGTAGATCTATTCTTTCCTCACTGACACCATCAATGTACTAATCATTGATGGGTTCATAACTTGGTATCATTATTGGGCATGGTAGACGACAGAAGGTGGGGCTGGTTGGGGAAAGCAGGGCTTTGAGGGTGTGACTTTGAAGAGTGTTATCTCCTTTCTAGCCCCTCTCCCTGTCTTGCTCTCTTTTCCTTTGACAGCATGAACCGAATAGCCTGTTTTGTACATGCTATTGTCACCATTATTTTTTACCTTCCACAGGCCCATAGCTGAATATCCAGGGGACCATGGACTGAACACTCTACGATGTGGGACAAAGTAAACCCCTCCTCTACCTCCTCCTTGAATTGCTTCCCTCATCTATTTAACACTGATGTGATGATTGAAAAGCACAAGTGAGATAATTCATTGTCTCTTTGTTTTATTTACTAGCCTGTCTCAGTTCAGAAGAGGATTTATTGGTGAAGAGGATGCAAAGCCATGGAACCATTGTTTAAGAAAGAAGGTTAAATTAGGGGCCGGCGAGATGCTTCAGTTGGTAAAGTGCTTGCTATGCAAACAGGGAGACCTGAATTCTACCCCAAGAACCAGGTGAGGAGGGGAGCACGTGGGTTCCCAGTGCTGGGAAGATAGAGGCAGGAATATCCCTCTAGCTTAGTGGGCCAGCTAGTCTAGCCAAAAAGGCAAGGCTCCAGGTTCAGTGAGAGACTGTCTTAAACATTAAGAGGTGGCAAGCAATGAAAGGAGATAACTGACATCAACTTCTGCCTTCTACATCACAGACACACACACATATACATGTATTCACAAGTGTGTATGTATATAATCATGTACATACACACACACAGAGTGACAGGAAGGACTATGTGTAGGTACAGGTGCTGGGGCTCACAAGCTAGATGTGGACATCTAGCTTCCCACTGTCTGGTGGTGCTGGCAGCAGCGGGCAATGAGAACAGAGGATAGGGGCAAGGCAGAGCCAGAAAGGAAGGAATGAAGAAGCCTGAAGACACAATTATATTTCCTTCTTAACAGCTGTTTCTCAGGCTGGTTGTTTGGCACGTAGACTCAGGGGCCACTGAGACAGCTGTTCATCAGTTGTTGGAACACACTTGGGATTATAACAGGAGAGACTTCAAAGTCTGAGGCAGGGAACTGTTGCTTAAATTCTCTTTGAGGTTTTTTTTTTTTTTTTTTTTTTTAATAGGGTTCCTCTGTGTAGCCTTGGCTGACATTCAAACTAAGTGAATTAAAAAGTTTTGCCAAAATCATCCAGCAAATTAGGCATTCAACAACATCAGAGAATATATCGAGTGTATTTTTTGTAATCAATTGGGTCAATTTTAAAAAGTTTTAGGATGGTGCAAAGCTTCAGGGCAGCTACTGATCAGCAGGTCTGCGTTTATTGTAAGGCACCACCTAGCTCTGATGTGCTTCACGTGTTCTCTGAAGTTTTCTTACATTTACCAGTCCAAATGGTTTGAACTGGAGTGAAATAAAGAGCAGAGAAGTCATAAAAATAAAACCAGATTCCAGACCCACAAACTCTAGATAATTCCAAATAAGGAATGCTAACTGTTAACCGCTATGACCAGTTCCTTCCACCAAGAGCCACTGGATCATCTGGAGTCCCTGACCCCACAGGCCATACATACATCCCACCTCTGTTTGCCATAAACTTTGGGGAGGGACAGATCCATCCAACCTCCTTTGACAAAGGAGCCAGATTAGTCGTCACCCAGTGAGATGGGTATCAAATCCTGTAGGAGGAAGTGTGATGATGAAAAAAAAAAGAATTTAAATAAATGGTAGAAAGATTAAAACAATGAGATTGATGTTGACAGGCTCCAGCTGGCTCCCATGAAGCTTTCACAAAGATCTGCCATACTTAGCAGTGCCTCTTTCTGCCAGGCCTCTGATTTGCATTCAAGTCTAGTCACCTTCAAGTGCAGAGGCTGGACTTGGTGGGTTCTCACTTGTAGGGCCTCACAGAGTGTTCTGGATCAGCCCTGTCTTTAGAGCTGGGACATGTCCTCTGCCATCTTACCTGGCTAGGATCTGGACTAAGCAAAAGACACTCTTGCCTGTATCCTTCTGTTGTGCTTACAGCCCAACGTGCTTAGATTCTTGTATGCTTTGGATTCCAAGAACAGCCCAGCCATACCACCACATTCCCAGATTCTTTCTGCTGAATCTCCCTGATTGCACAGACAATAGCGTTGAATTGAAGTATGCTGCAGTGTGTTAGGGATGAGAGGCATGGCTCTATGGTTTCAGGCGTTGCCTAAGAATGCACTCTCAGTAACAACAACAAGGGTTGGAAGTCTACTCTGTGCCTTTGTCTCTGTGTGAATGGGTGCTAAGAGTCTACAGATCAGTGCATCCCCATCCTGATATGCTAACCTGGATTCTACACTTGATTTTCAGATCAACAGGGTGGAGGGACTTTATGGTTTTGGCTAGGATATTTACACTATTTATGTTTTTGTAGAGACAACACAAAGTTCTGATTTGGGGAGTTTGGGTTGGCTCTTGGTCCTGAGTTTATTTGTTTTCATGGTATTTAGGGAGGTGAGAATATTTTTCTCCTGGCATCCTCAGTTCCACAAGTGCTAAAACAAGGATGTTCTTCTGAATATGCCTGGAATTTTCCTTTCCTGTTCACACTTGCAGCAGATTTCTTGTTAGTTCCCAGGGTGAGTGCAGATTGGTGATGCTGGGAGGATTGGGATATACAGAGGAGGTCTGCAGACGTAGTTACTGTGGCTCTGATGGAATAGAGTATGGAATAAGGATGTTTTTGAGGGCTTCTTAACTCTGGATCTATCTTTTGGCTCACAGTTTGGTTAGGTGACTACGAGGAGCGTGGAAAATCATTTTTCTGGAGTGGAGTTAGTTCAAGGTGTTGTCCCATTGTTTCTTGGATCCCTTTGGTCAATGATGTCTGTATAAAAACCTTCTCACTTGTTTTGATAGCTCTAGTTATCTGAGCTGCTGAAGCAAGGTGTAAAAATGGTATCTAGTGAGTTTCTCTCTCTTCCATTTTAGAAATAACAGAAGCAATTCATACATATTGGAAAGTGTTCCCAAACACCTTAGCTTCATGTCTCAGTATCTATATATCTATGTATTTATGTATCTATGTATGTATGTATGTATGTATGTATCTATCTGCCTCCACTTTACTGTCCCATTCCTCTTTACAATATTAATTTCAAGGTAAATAAGCTGTGTATTTTGTGCCAAACTATCTCATATCTGTGTGCCTTCTTCAGAGGAGTATGTTTGTGATGCCTCTCATAACTAGAAGTTGTATAGGGCTAGTCTTGGTTGTTCACTTAGAGTTTTTGTTATCTGTGAATTAATTACTCAAGTAGGCATTAGAAAGTTCTTGTAGTCTATCAATAATCATAAGCAGTAAGGAATTAAAGATCATTTTTATAGTTCAGGAAACTAGACTCTATATCATTATTATTTAAAATTATTAGTTTACTGAGAAAATCTTGCTTATTGATGGATTGACTGTGTACTTACTATGTAGAATGTACAATGTCAGGAATTTTTCTATCAAAAATCCTTCTAAGAGGCTAGGAGCTAAGTCTATTATTGTACTCCCAGAAGCGATACAGCTCAGCTTAACTAATTTGCTGGCTGTTACTTGGTGAGCAAGGGCTGAAGCCAGGATGGACTTCAGGAGGCTGGCTTGGACTAACCGCTCCCCACATAGTCCTCCCCTTCCTTGTCATCTATGGAGTGGAATGCATCATTCGCAGATCCTTGAACAAGAGCCTAAGATAAATAGTGCTCACTAACCCTACAGCTTGTGTAGGCCTTCCTTGAGGGTTTGTGAGGGAAAAAAAGAGACAAGAAGTTGTTTAACTCTAACATTTAAAAAGGTGAAGTTTTGTTCTATAGCACAATAGTGCTATAAGTGCTATAGGAGTATAGTATAGTAATGTAGCGTAGTGCTACACTATAGAAGGCTATAATAGTGTAGTAGTATACTATAGTAGCATAGTACAGTACAGTATAGTATAGTAGTACTATGAAACTCTAAGTAAACAACAGTAGGTAATTATAGTTGACAATGATTAATTATGTATTTCAAAATATCTAGTAGAGAGGACTTTGGATGGTCCCAACACAAAGAAATGACAAATACCCAAATGGATATATCAATTGTCCTGGTTTGATAAGTACATATCATATAGAGGCATTAAAATACCACAGTGCATCCCATAAATTATACTGCTACTGTGTGCATTAAAAGTGGTAAAAGAGAAAAGGGAAGAAATTGCAGGGGAATGAAACTTAACTACTGGGTGATAAGCACATTCCTAGATGTTTGTTTTCCCTATCATTTGTCATTCTGGGGGAACTTGTACTGTGGATATAAACATAGCTGTGTTTTGATCCCAGGTGTAGGATATGGGACTGATTCAGACTGTCCACAGCAGCAAACTATTTGCCTCGTGAGGGCTGTGAGAGGGGCTCTTTGCCAGCTGCAGAGAGTTTCATTCTGAATACTCTGAGAAGGAATAAATGCCAGAGCCCAGAGAGAATGTTGGGCACTCCAAGAAGGAAGAAGGCTGCTGGCATTCCCCACTGTTGCTCCTGGTCACTGTTGATAAAGTTGGGTGAGAATTAGTTGGAGATATCCCAAAATGAAGATTAGACTTGCTCCAAGAAACCCAATGACCCTAACAGGAAGTAGCCAAAGAGAACTCTTCCTCCTGTCCCTACTAATGTTCCTCCTCTTCTACCTGGTATTGGGGTGTTGGAAGGGATTGGGTGTGGGAAGAGCATAAGAAACCAAAATAAAATGGTATAAAAAGTAACACCAACAACCGTGGGTAAAAACGAAAGAGCAAGTTCCCTCATTCAGTATAATTAATTAATTTAAGACAATGACCTGTTCTTATACAGAAACCAAATAATGGAGGCTTTTAAAACACATTAAAAAAATAAAAAAACAACAAACAAACAGAAAACAAAGTAAGATTCAGTGTTCCTCCCTGGCCTAGAAGCATTCACAGTCCCCGAGTAGACTGCTGACTCCTTTTCATGTCACCCTCCCACGTTTCAGTCTCACGCCATCTGTACAGGCTCTTCTGATTCTCAAACGTTAACGTGGCCTCAGGGCATTGTACCTGCAAAAAAACTTTTTTTTTTTTTTTTTTTTGCCTCACAGACTTTCCCTCATATACTTACACAGTTTTTCTCATTTCCTTTCTTTCCTCAATTTAACACACTACATTAGAGAGGTCTCTGAGGCCACCACCTCAATTCAAATATCGCGCAAGCCTCTACATGTATTTACCTACACAAGGCATGTACACTCTCACCCACACACTCTACTCTCACCCAGCCACATACTGTGACTCATAAATCCACAGTGACAAATCAATGGAGGAAAAAGTCAGAAGGGGATGAAGCCTTCACCTTCTATTATAGTATAGCTCAATATTTCCTGGGATCTTTAAATCATCATAATCTCCTTCTGTCCAGTAGCATGAAAATGTCTCCAGTTCAGGAGAACGACAGTTGGTGAATCGAGGCTTCCCAGAAGAACCTGCAGAATAAAGATAAAGGGCATACATGGAATTAGGAGGATCAGGTGACATTCCTATGAAGCATTACATAAAGTGTGTAAAGAAGGAAAGATAAGGCCAGCTTATTCCTCGTCTGGGGATGTGATGCTATCATTTGAAGAAGCTGTTTTCTTGGCTCATCATCTCAGCATCTACTGCCTGGTACTGTCGGTCATTAATTCTGAAGCCAAATAGTTGTGCCTTCATTTTCAGCATTATTCCTTGGGGCCTGTTTAAGATCCAGAGCTAGAGAAAATGATCTGGGGACAGGTTGGTAGGCAAGCCTAGGACTAGAAGGAAAATAATGGACAGAGAAGAAAAATAATGGGCAGAGAGGGGAAAGGCCCTACAGAACAATGTCTAAGGTGGCTATTATTTACAGCAACCCTGAAAAGAATGTTGCAGTTGACAAGAGGGTTCCACCTTTTTTTTTTCTACCTTTGTCCCCCAGATTAATTCCTTCTTGTATAATTGAGTGTAGCAGTGGAAGATGTCCTGTATTCTGAAAAAATTTTAGCATTAACACTGCTTTTAGTCAAAGATCTTAGAATGGCATCCATACTCATTTGCTTTTCTTCTTTGGAGGCTGTGGTGTGTGTGTGTGTGTGTGTGTGTGTGTGTGTGTAGTCCAGAGGTTGATGTTTGTCTTCCTCTCTGGCTCTTATCTAATGTTTTAGACATTGTCTCTCACTGAATTTGCAGCTTGCCATTTAGGTAGGTTGGTTGCCCAGCAAGTCCCAGGATCTGCTTGTCTGCCTTCCAGCACCAGGGTTAGAGGTGTACCACAGGCCTGACTTTTACATGAGTGCTGAGGATCTAAATTCAGGACTTCTACCTCACCCTTTAATCACTTGGTCATCTCCTCAGACCCCAAAGTCTTCATTTAAAACATGAGAATTCAAAGATATAAACTTAGTTGAAGCAGAGGCAGGAGAAGCTGGAGGCAAGGGGGAATTCAGGGATGGATATTCTCAAGACACATTGTTGTATGTGCCTGAAGCTTTAGAAAGTAAAAGCACAAAAGATAAGGATTCCCACTTAGAGTTACATCTTTATTTTAGTTATTAGTAGGTACATCATGTTTCCTATTATATCACTTTACATGCATACTTCATTTATCAGTGACTACAGATTGTCTTTCAAGGGGGGTGGAAATGGCAAGGTTTGACATCCTCTGAATTTAGCTTTTAAAAATCAGTCACCTAGAAACCTCCAATCTTCCATGCTGGAACCAACTGAGATGTTTTAATATAATGTCTCCCCTTACTTTCTAGAGATTTTGGTTTCTTTGGGTGTACAGTGTAGAGAATCTGATTTTTAGAAGTTCCTCAGGTACTTGCAATGGGCATTCCAGGTTAAGAATCACAACTGCAGACAAACTTATGTATGAGATGACAAAATGTGGCTTTTGCATAGTTTTATTCCCTCTGCTGTTCTAGGAGAGTTATGTATCAGCACCTGGTACACACACTGAGAAGCCTCATTCAGGATGGCATTATCATCTTAGAAATGTCCCTTAGAATAATGCTTCATGAAAACTTGGAGTATAGGAAGGCTATTTAAAATCTTTGCACAAAATTGTACATCTAAATGATACTCCTGCCGAAATATCCATCAGAGCATATTCTAACAACAAAAATCAAGAAGCCACAGTGTTGCTTCCGTTAAGTTTATCTATAAACTTCACAGAGAGTTGCATTAAAGTTTTTAAAAGCTGGTAAAGTTTGGTATTGTATCCAGGTCCTACAATGTTGGGGAAACAGCGCTGCTTACCCTGGGTCACCGCAGCACCGCATTATTGGTGTGCAGGTCAAATGGACTGCACAGCTTAAGTAAGCTTCCTCCACAGCTGCCTGCGGGCTCTCCCCTTGGAGGAAGATGATCTCCCAGGCAGTCCCCAGACAGAGCACATCAAGCAGCTGTTATATTGAAGGATTAATGTTCCGAGGTGCTTTTCTAGCCTTGACTCGCAACAGAGCAGAAACAGATCCCAAATGAAATAGCACACAGTTTCCCAAAGTCTGCTTGGGCCATGGGCTTAGGTAGAAGAGAAAAGAGGAACTGAAGTAAGAAGGGATGGCAGAAAAGGTCGTAGTGAGGAAGGATGGGTTTCTTCTGAGAGCTCCAGGCTTGAGTGAAAAGTGCACTGCAGTAGCCTGTCCTTAAATAGAGACTCTCCACTATAGTAGGTCTTGAAAGCTAAGTGCTTCTGACAATCCAACACTTGTCACCTCTTAACACACAATAGAAGATTGAGCTATCTTTTGTAGGGATGATAACTTGAAAGGAAAGTCTTTCTCCTTACCTACAGTAATGTCAACCAGTTGACGTTCTCTTGATTTAGGGTAGCAGTGAACCAAACAATAAGGAAAGTAATAAAGCAAGCAAGCAAACAAACAAACAAAAAACAAAACAAGACAAAAATAACACCTTCATTGGTTGCTCTCCACAAACTGCTTGTTAGGCCCTATTGCTCTGAAGGCAGCACTTACATCTCTCATTGAACATGGAAACACTGAGCTGGTGCCTAACTGGAGCCTTCACCCTCCTGACCAGTGTTTATGGTACTAGAAGGTACTGTGCACTCTACCAAAGGAGAAGACCCAGCTACAAATACTTGAGTCTACAATGGTGACTCCCTGCATGATATAACAGTTGTGCAAAGACTATTGAAGAAACTATCTACTATGTGCTTAGACTTAAGGTCTACTCCGTGATATAGAACACAGGCCTTATACTGCATATGGATGGCCAAGAACCTGAGACTAGATAGGCTATGTGTTGGAGGTTTTTTCTGGTGAAAATGAAATACTATTGTTCTGCTAAAGGAGAGCACCAATAAAATTATTCCTAATGATATTCTGCTAAACCCAGAGATCAATCTCTCACTTAGCCATTATTGGCAAAGCTTTCCCTTGCAGTAGATAGAAACCAGTACAGAATCTCACAACTGGTAAATGTGCAGAGAGTAAGAGACTTTGGAATACTTAGTTCTAAATGAGATGTCTGCATCAAATCCTCTCCCCCTCCCCAGGGCTCAGAGCTATGCAGAAGGGGAGGCAGAAGTACTGTAAAATCCAGAGAGGATAGATCATACCAAGGAAACAGTATCTTCCTTACACAACAGGACTGATGCCCATATGACTCACAGAGACTATGGTAGCATGTACAGGAACTGCACATATCCAAGCCAGAGGAGGTACCAGCACTGAGAGGAGGAAGAAGGCACAAGCTTCCCTAACAGAGAAACTATCTCTAATTTATAACCATTTGCAAAGGGAAAAACAAACAAACAATTTTCTTCAGTGGAACCTCACTGAGTATACAAACCATACTTAAGGGAAGGTCCCATATCCAGTAGTAGATGGCTAACCCAAAATGAACCCAATGGCATTTTTGGAGAATTTTTCATCTCATATTGCTTTTCTTAGGCTTTTTGTTTGTTTGTTTGTTTGTTATCATACCAGTCTTTTGCCTGTATATTACGCTTCCAATGTTGAGGGGTTTTTTTTGTTTTTGTTTTTGTTTTTTTTTTTGGAGGGGGGAGGGTATTACAATCTGTTTGTGTCTCTGTTTCTCATGCTTTCTTCACTTTTTACAATTCTGTTTTTGTTATATTTTAATTTTTTTCTGTTTGTTTTCTAAAGAGAGACAGAAAGAAGGCATGGAGTTGGATGAGTAGGGAGTTGGGTAGGATTTGGGAGGACATGAGAGAGGGGAAACTGCTCACAATATAGTGCATGAAAAAATTTAATTTTCAATAAAAAGATAACATTCCTTAACATGATGAAGAAAAAAAAATCAACACAGCAAACTTGTACAGAGACATACTGGAAAAAATATTTTTAGGGCTGTTGCTCAGTGGTAGAGCCCTACTAAATCTGTATGAAGCCCTGGAATGGATGCTCAGCACCACGAAAAGAAAATACAGATAAGTGGTCTTCAGATTTGGCTTCCATCCTCAGTGATGAGTGAAATTACCAGATCAGTGTGTGTGGTAATAAAGCATGAAAAGTGAGGAGGGCGGGAAAATACAGGAAAGTGGCTTTTGGTTCATGATGGCAAATCTGGGTTCTGACAAGGCATCTGTGTATGCAGACAACCAATTCCCCTGCTCTTTGGAAGGAATGGCTACTGCTGAACTATAGCCAAAGTGAGGAAGTACTTATTGTCAACTGTTGTGAGGATTGCATAAACATACAGGTCGAGGCCAAGTATGATGAAATTGTAATGTTCCTTCCACAGTAATAAACAAAAGACGTTGGTTTCAGCAGAGAGCTCTTGCCCTTCCTTGTCTGTGCTTCACAGGCTTTGGATGATTGATTAGCATCCATGCATCAATGATTTAGAACAGCTCTGTATTCAGCCTTTATATTTGACTCAGGCACTATCACAGAACAGAAAACACTTGTGATTCTTAAAGATTCAATGTGTGAATACATGAAGTTATAATACTATGAAGACAGAAAGAAGTTACTTCATTCACTGTCACTGCTTTACAAGGTCCTCATCTACGTTTGTAGTGGAACTGAAGTGGGGATCTGACAATGTAACAGTCATTAACTGTTCTTGAAGATCATGTGATAGCTACTGTCCTTACCATTTTGTGGATAAGGAAACTGAAGCACAGAGAAGAAAAATAACAAGTACAAAGGTCACTTCGCTAAGTGTCACAGCCCTTATTGCCACCAAGCAGTTATGTTTCAATGTCTTTATTCTCAATTATTACACCTGTGGCTTCCAAAGTTTTAAAAAGTGATCCCTCTGGGAAGAAAATTTTTACATAATTTCCCCATGTGTACATATTTCTATATGTGTTCTATATGTGTACGTATATAAAATGAAAATATTTCACAGCTATGATTCTCACTGTATTTAATAAATTCTGATTGTATATGTTATCTAACACATATTTGTTTATAATACAGTCACACACATTATATACATACATACAATACAGTTTGCAATCTTGTAAATTGAT